CAATGTTTCATCTCCTGATGTGTAGGTATTTGGATGAAAGGTTGATGTTTGTTGATGACTTTCACATATGCCACACCTTTCACATTTCTAACAACATAATGATTCTCTACACTCAGTTTCAATGTTTCATCTCCTGATGTGTAGGTATTTGGATGAAAGGTTGATGTTTGTTGATGACTTTCACATATGCCACACCTTTCACATTTCTAAACTAGTAATATTTGTTTAGGTAAGAAAAATAATATTCCATAAAAATCAGAAGCAAGCAAAATAAAATTTAGGAATGTTTATCCTAAACGACCCGTTAATTCTGCTAAAACATCGAGCTTGTCAAAAAACTCTCAGAATGATGTCATTTATCTCATGTATTGTTGCAAATGAACCTGACTTCAGCGACTACGTATCTCGCTCTTGTCTAGTGTGTTTTAAAATATTACATAGGAACAAATGATTAATATTTCTTTTAAGCCTAAAGTACACAAACTCGTGAGGGTCAACAATGATTCAACTAAACTTACCGTAGTTTTCATGTTATGGCTGTCCTTCTATAGCTACCTGAAGTTGTAATTGCAGGATTCTCCCAAGAACGATGAGAACTATCCTTTTTTATACCTGAAGCTAGTGCATGTTTTGGTATAGTGACACAATTTCCTGCACTGTAAGATATTCCCGCCCTGTTCCTTTGACGCCCTTGAGCAACCCTATCTCAGTTCACTTAAACGTGTGAAAGTTTTTGTTTGTATGAATATCTAACTAATCTGTCAAGGTTTTTCCAGATAACAATAGGAATGGCGTTTTATCGATACAAAAACAAATTTCTGAAAATATAACTATGACTCATTAAATGTTGATTATGATATGAGGAGATTCTGGTACCTAGCACATGGAAGAATAAAGAAGAATAAAGAATAAAGACAAAGAAACTTTAAATCCCGAAACTTCATTATTCTCACGTCGTCCTATTAAATGTATATTCACACACACATATATATACATATTTATTTAAACATGCAACTGTTGCGAAAGATAAGAAAATATTCTCACACTGTTACGATATTTTATGTGGCATTCTAGTTTAAAAAATATTTCCAATAAGAAAGATTTGAAGTTCACATAACTTGATGTATGTTAGACAAAGATATTCTAGTAGCAGAGAAATGAATTTCTTTAGGTCATCAAATACAATAATACTTCTTAGAATAAAACGGAATTATTTTTTATAAACTTCAGGTCCATTTACACCTATACTAAAGACGATGAATATTTATAATTAATCATCATGAATTATTCATATAAGGCCAACTTAATATCTTAATAATATCTATACTTTTAAACCCAGGACCTTCTTTAACCACGAATACAAAAACAGTTCACTTCTGGATTACAGAAATTTGAAAGAATAACTTGTAATATGAAGTAGAAATTCTCAGTGACGTCAGTGGAGAACATTTATATACCCAAAGAAGTATTATATTAAAACAACCTTATATAGAAAATAAGGAAGACCTGCTGGATATTTATGTACGAGCTATGCTTATATAACTTGGATTATTAGATGTTATATTCATGCTGTTCGGTTGAGAAGAACAGTGGGTGAAGATAATATAATGTATAGCTAAGCCATGGTTTCCTGTTTCAGTATCTTTTTTTTTGAATACCTAGAAGTCAAATAGTTTCAATTCATGACTGGTATTTCATTTCAGAATCAGATGTAAAACATGAAAGTTGGTGTCCATTCCAGTAGTCCTTTGATTCAAGGGAATTTCAATGTAGTTTCAGCAAGAAAAACTAGAAATATGGTCCACGAGGTCATGACAATTTTCTCACTTTATGTAAAGCACTTAAATGCACTTTAACGATAAGAATTGGTAGAAGTATCCTGGTGGTCATTCTAATAATATTAGTTTATGTGGTGCTCTTGTGGTCAATATTCTAGTTTATATCATTTTAGAGTAAGTCAGGTTAACGAGTGTAACGAATGATAAAAATACGGGTTATGTTGGGGTGGTCATTCGAGTAGTTTTATTTTATGTAAAATATCTTTTTCAGGTCAAATGCTAACAGTAATATGTCAGTGGTTATTTTGGTAGCCTTGATATTAATTTGGTTTTAAAGCTCATCTACCGTTAAACGCGATGTCTTGATGGTCATTTTAGTTAATAACACTTCAATCCAGTTCTAGAGACAGCAGTGGGGCATAGTGTCCAGATAATGTTTTTGCAAATTTTCAAAACATGAAAGATAATTGAATGACCACCAGGATATTACTACTAATTGTTATCATTAGAATAAAACGGACCTAAGGTGTGAAAAGGGTTTTTATTATAAGCACGCGTTAGAAAGCCAGTGGTTAAATATAAGGGTTCATCCAAAAGTCCATGTTTTAGAGGCAATTTCATTTTCTTTCCAGATTTAGAAAAAACATACAGTATCATCATCAAACACTATTTTCAATAATATATATATATATATATAATATGAGGTATAGCTTCAAAACTATTATATCAATTACATTAATTGTCAATAGGCGATCAAAATCAGCACTATAAAACAATAATGAACTTAATATAAATTCAAAACTCCATTTGAAAAAAATACAAATCCTTCGCACTTTCCGGTCATTATCCAAAAGTCATAACGGAGATTGCCTGTGGTAATAGCACCCAAAAGCGTTGGGAATATCCCATCTATTAACCAAAATCCAAAAAGCAGATGAGAAACCAAATATATTTGATAAGAGAAGAACATTTAATTTTCCATCTTTGGTCTGCTCATCCCTAATAGTGTGGTTCCTCGTATGATGCTGAAAGGCGTCATTACGTCTCAATTAAAAAGATTTTTAACTGTTTGTAATAACAGCACGTTATTTTTATGGATAATGTAATATTATTCATTACTAAATTAGAAAATAATAGATATAAATACTGGCAAATAAAAAGGTTTTTGCCAGTTTTTATAATAAATTTCAAAATATTTATTAGATGAATATTCAATGAGGAAAACTTTTTTTTTTGCCACTAGAGGTAGTTAGCTACTTTTAATATGTAATCTAAATTTATTTAGTATAGTCGGGACTGGAAAGACTAACTTCAATTAGCTGGGCTTGTCTCAGTTATCCCGTGCTATACTTGAATAATGTGACAATATGAACTACTTAAAGACCGAAAAGTGCGAAGGTTTTTTTTTTTAAAATAGAGCACTGAATTTATATATATATAGGATTTCTGAATGCATTTTATACAAAAACAACGTTTAATAATGGGAAAAACACAAGACGTTCTTAGACACACAGATGGTCTGTATCTATCAGACCGTAGTTCTGGCCGACAAGTGGCATGTCCATATTTGTCAAGATAATGCAAGTTCGAATCCCATTCAGCCGTGGGGGCGTTATAATGTTTCGGTCAATCCCACTATTCGTTGATAAACGAGTAGCCTAAGAGTTGGCGGTGGGTGGTGATGACTAGCATAGATAGCCCTCGTGTAGCTTTGTGCGAAATTCAAAACAAACAAACATATAACAATTGAAAATGCGTGTTACTGTAAAACCAATTTGGTGAACCTGATAAGTTGAGCAAAGGTTCACAGGAGGAAACCATCAAAAACAAGAAACATGTGGCCAGTTCATTACAAGAGGATCCTTGAGTCAGTGTAACAGTAGCTTCAGGTCAACATTGACCTTAGAGACTTTCAACCATATCTACAAAGTCAAGTGGAAAACATGATCATGGTGAAGCAACCAACATGAAGTCTTTTAAAACTGCTTATAAATTACAACATTACAGAATAAC